CAGGTTTGGAACAACATGAGGGAGAGTGAATGATAACAGAATGATAATTTTTTGGTGAACTGTTGCTTTAATTCCAATTCCAGTTCAACGTCTGACCAGTTCATACTGTACTTTACTCATAAATCCACTAGTTGACAGATAAAAGCACTGACTAATGAATCAGCGAATGGTCTGGCAGTAGCTGTGATCAGTGTAAGCACACGCGGGAAAACAGGATGTTGTTGGTGAGCATCAGCAGCTCAGCAGGAAGTTGCACAGCCTCGTGCACCTCCACCGGGACCCCGTCAGAGCCTCCTACACACACACAGGCACACACACACACACACACACACACACACACACAATACAACACACACACACACACACACACAAACACACATACAATAGAACACACACACACACACAATACAACACGCACACACAATACAACACACACACACACACAATACAACACACACACAACTCCACCGGGACCCCGTCAGAGCCTCCTACACACACACAGGCACACACACACACAATACAACACACACACACACAATACAACACACACACAATACAACACACACACACACACACACACACACACACAATACACCACACACACACAATACAACACACCACACACACACAATACAATACAACACACCACACACACACACACACACACACACACAATACAACACACATACAATAGAACACACACACACAATTCTTTTGAACTTTCTATTCATCTGTGAATCCTGAAAAATAAAATGTATCACGGTTTCCACAAAAATATTGTGCAGCACAACTGTGTTCAACATTGATAATAATCAGAAATGTTTCTCGAGCATTCACACCACACACACACACACACAATACAACACACCACACACACACACACACACACACACACACACAATACAACACACATACAATAGAACACACACACACAATTCTTTTGAACTTTCTATTCATCTGTGAATCCTGAAAAATAAAATGTATCACAGTTTCCACAAAAATATTGTGCAGCACAACTGTGTTCAACACTGATAATAATCAGAAATGTTTCTGGAGCAGCAGATCAGCATATTATACTGATTTCTGAAGATCATGTGACACTGAAGACTGGAGTAATGATGCTGAAAATACAGCTGCGCATCACAGAAATACATTACAGTTTAACAGAGATTCACAGAGAAAACAGCTGTTTTAGATTGTAATAATATTTTACAATTTTTACTGTATTTTTGATCAAATAAATGCAGTCTTGGTGAGCAGAAGAGGCTTTCAAACACATCTTACTGACCCCAAACCGAGTCTTTGTTACACTGTTCAGCCTCAATGAACTGAAACAAAAGCAGAAAGTGAACACTGGAGGAGCCTCGGCAGATGATCTAACACTGAATCTTTCTTCACTCATCGCTGGTGATTCTCACACGAGCACACAGATGTGAGGGATTCAAACTCCACATCAACAGCCCAGAGGCTTCAGACGCGTTCGCTCATGTGTCGACTAACTGTTGGGCTCGTGGAGACGGAAGGAGCTGCTAAACTCGCACGGCCAGCGCTGCTGATGCAGGAGCAATCTGATCCTCTGATCACTGATTCCTGCAGCTCGCGCTTGTTTTACATTACCTTCATCAGCTGTGAGTCACTTCAACAGCGCTATCATCACTAAAACTACAACCATACACAATATCTCCCTTACTTCAAATAAAATAAATATTAAACAAAAGCACAAAGCATACTAGATGAAATAAACATAAAAAAAACAAAAAAAACGAAAATACTAAAGACAAAAAATACATTAAAAAAAAAGTATCTCAACATTACTAACAAATGTTATCTGAAAAAATAAAAATATTAAAATAAAATTTTAATAAAAATTAAGAAAAACTATATAGACATTCAAAACTATATAAAATGAAAATATAAAATATAAAAACTAAATAAAAATATATATGAAAACTATAACAGTTTCTCAATGATACTAATAAACATTATCGTAAATAAAATAAAATATGAAAAAACATATTGCAGATAGTTGCCAAAGCAACATTTCATTTTCAACATTTTCATTTTGATCTTTTAAAATGACTAAAACTGAAATAAAATTAATAAAAGCTACATATACATTTAAAAAATAATAATAAAAAAGTGACAAAAATACCAAAAACTACTAAATGTTTAACTCAAATTAAAAAAAGACACTAAAACAGCACGGTGTCTGATGTCTGATGGTCTCCTATCTGCTGAGAGAACTGAAGGTGGTTTCATGACGATCAGTGATGTTCTGGGATCATCATCTTCCCAGCGAATCACTCTGATAGTCTGATAGAGGAGGAGCACCGCACACGTGTGTCTGTCTAAACCAGAGCGCCGCAAACGTTTGGGCATGAAGGGCCACTTTCATTTTTCTGGTTAACCACTGTGCCAGTACCCCCCCCCCCCCCCTTTTTTTAATAAAGAAACATAAAAAAA